ATATTATTGATAATTCGTATAAAAATGGTCATTACAACTTGGAACAACCCTTTTATAAGCCACAAAGGATGCCCTAGCAAAAATATAATCCTAACCCTTCAAATAAATGTAATCTAAAGGCTAATATTCTCTCCAGCAGAATAAAGAGCTAAAAATTACAAAAACAGATCTTAAACAGTCACATGACTCACTTAAAAGGCACATGACTTATAAAATAAAATCAAATGACCATGTTCGGGGAGTGGGAGGAGAGGTTCTCAGATGTTGTTCAGGCTACATTGGCTCGTCCTATCTCTGACCATGTTCCGTTGATGTTGGATTGTGGCGGATTGTGCAGTAGGCGCTCTCCTTTCAGAATCGAGAACATGTGGTTGCGGGCTGAGGGATTTCTGGAGAGGGTCCGTCTCTGGTGGGAAAGGTATGGTGTGGTTGGCACCCCTAGTCATGTGCTAGCAGGCAGATTGCATCTATTAAAGGATAATCTTAAGACTCGGAATAAAGAGGTTTTTGGGAACCTTGAATGGAGGAAAAATCGGGTTCTTGCTGAAATAGCGGCTATTGATCAAATGGAGGGTCAAGGGGATTTGGTGGATTCTTTGAAGGCTAGGAGGGCGGAGTGCAAGGCGGAGTTTACTGAGATTGCTGTCTTGGAGGAGATCTCGTGGAGGCAAAAATCTCGAGCTTTGTGGCTTAAGGAGGGGGATCGAAACACTAAATTTTTCCACAGATTGGCTAATGCTCATAGAAGAGGCAATCATATAGGGAGGATTCCAGTCGAGGGGGTCATTTTTTGTAAGGAGGAGGAGATTTGCAAAGGATTCTCAATATTTTTTGAGAATTTGTTTAACAAGTCTGTTGAGTGGAGACCTTTGCTCGAAGGGTTGCAGTTTGACTCCATTTCTGAGGAGGAGTGTTTGGGCTTGGAGTTGCCTTTTTCTGAGGAGAAAGTTCTGTTTGCTTTGAAGAGTTGCAATGGGGATAAGGCCACAGGTCCAGATGGTTTCACTATGAGATTTCTTCTTGAATGTTGGGAAGTGGTTAAAGGAGAGGTGATGGGCACTTTCCATGCTTTCCATTCTCGGGAATCTTTTGAGAAAAGCTTGAATGCCATGTTCATTGCTCTCATTCCAAAAAAGGGAGGGGCTTTGGATGTTAGGGATTTTCGCCCTATTAGCCTGGTGGGTTGCATCTACAAGCTGATTGCCAAGGTGCTTGCTTCAAGGTTAAGGAAAGTGTTGGATGGCATCATTTCGGACTCTCAAAACGCTTTTGTAGGAGGCCATCAAATTTTGGATTCAGTCCTTATTGCAAGTGAGTGTGTGGACTCCAGATTACGTAGTGGAACCCCGGGTGTTCTTTGTAAGTTGGACATTGAGAAGGCGTTTGACCATGTGAGTTGGAGCTTTCTTCTGTATCTGATGGAGAGGATGGGGTTCCGCGATAGATGGAGGAGATGGATTCATTTTTTTATTTCTAGTGCTCGCTTTTCGATCCTTGTTAATGGTGCTCCTACTAGTTTTTTCTCTAGTTCAAGGGGCTTAAGACAGGGAGATCCCCTTTCCCCCTTCTTGTTCTTGTTTGTGATGGAGGCCCTTAGTAGATTGATGAGAAGGGCTACCGAGTTGGTCTTTTGAGAGGCTTCCGGGTGGGCAGGGAGGCAGATTCTCAGTTGGAAATCTTTCATTTGATGTTTGCTAATGACACTTTAGTTCTTTGTGATGCGAACGTTTCTCAGATTAGATATTTGAGATGTGTTTTGATTTGGTTCCAAGTTGTTTCCGGCCTTAAAGTGAATGTGGGAAAAAGTGTTTTGGTGCCGGTTGGGGAGGTCCCTGAGATTGAGACTTTTGCTGATATTCTTGGCTGTCGTACTGGTTCATTTCCCATTTCTTACTTAGGATTGCCTCTGGGAGCTCCTTCGAGGTGTGTGGGGATTTGGGATCCAGTGGTGGACAGATTTGAGAGAAGGTTGGCGGGTTGGAAGAAGCAGTATCCCTCAAAGGGCGGTAGGGTCACGCTGATTAAGAGCACCCTCTCTTGTCTTCCCACGTATTTTATCTCTCTTTTCTAGATTCCCTCTTCAGTTGCGGAAAGGATTGAGAGGTTGCAGCGTAATTTTCTGTGGGGTGGTAGAGGTGAAGAGTTTAAGTTTCATTTGGTGAGATGGGACCAAGTTTGCAGGCCAATTCACAATGGTGGGTTAGGTCTCCGTAAATTGGTGCCCTTTAATAAGGCCCTCCTTGGGAAATGGTTGTGGAGGTTTGGGGTGAGAGACATCGGCTTTGGAGAAGGGTTGTGGCATGTCGTTTTGGGGAAATGAGAGGAGGGTGGAGTTCTTTGGAAGTTAGAGATCCTCGGGGAGTGGGGGTTTGGAAATTTATTCGGAAGGGATGGGATGATTTTTCCAAGCACATTCGGTTTCGTCTCAGAGATGGGAGGAGGATTCACTTCTGGGAGGATGTGTGGTGTGGAGATGTGCCTCTTGCCCTCGCCTTTCCTCAGCTTTACAGGATTGCTACGGATAAGCAGGCCATGGTGGTTAACTGTTATCATCTTGATAATGGAAAACTGGTTTGGGATGTTCGATTCAGGCGTTCCTTTCAGGATTGGGAGATCGAGGAGGTCATTCATTTCTTGGAGTTGTTATATCGCCAGAGGATTGTGGAGGAGGATTCGGACTATTGGTCTTGGATTGCAAACTCTCAGGGGCGCTTTGAGGTGAGGTCTTTCTTCAAGTGCCTCTCATTTGTTCTTGGAGTTCGTTTCCCTTGGAAGTCTATTTGGCGATCCAATGTTCCTCTTAAGGTGGCTTTCTTTGTGTGGACTTCGGTCCTGGGTAGGATTTTAACCCAGGATAATCTGAGAAGGAGAAGCCAAGTGGTGGTCAGCCATTGTTCTATGTGTCTTAGTGATGAGGAGTCTGTGAATCACCTTCTTATTCATTGCCCTTTGGCTAGAGAGTGTTGGGTTTTGATGCTTGGCTTATTTAGTGTTTCTTGGGTTATGCCTGGATCTGCTAGAGGGTTGATTGAGGCGTGGAGAGGTTGCCCTGTGGGGGCTCTCAGTCAGGATGCGTGGAGGGCTACGCCGCTTTGTGTGTGGTGGTATTTATGGCTTGAAAGGAATAGGAGATTCTTTGAAGGAAAGGCTTTGTCAATTTCGGTGCTTAAATTCTCGATTATTTCTACTCTTTTTTGTTGGGTTTTAAGAAGAGATCATAGTTCTTTAGAGGAAGTAGTTGATTTTTTAGCCTCTTTGAAGGCTTGAGGCCTTTGTGGTCTTTTGTATTTGCTTGGGTTCCGCTCCCCTTCTGAGCGTTTTTTTTTATAAAATTTTTTACTTATCAAAAAATAAAAATAAAAAAATCAAATGACAATAACATCCTAAGCATGAAATACAACAGATTAAAGACTTATAAATGACTCAAGACTAAAAACAATCACATAACCGGACTCATCATCAGCTGGCCTATTTATGGAAACTCAGTCTATTTATGGAAACTTGGTCGCATCTTCTTAGAGTGTTTAACTATTTGAAAATAGTCTTCTTCCACTTGCTCTGCATCATAAAGGCTAGTATTCTCTCCAGCAAAATAAAGAGCTAAAAATTACAAGACAGACCTTAAATAGTCACATGACTCACTTAAAAGGCACATGTCTTATAAAATAAAACCAAATGATAATAAAATCCTAAGTATGAAATAAAATAGATTAAAGACTTATAAATGACTCAAGACTAAAAACAATCACATAATTGGTCTCATCAGCCCTATTTATGGAAACTGAGTCTATTTATGAAAACTCGGTCGCGTCTTCTTAAAGCGATCAACTATTTCAAAATAGTCTTCTTCCAGTTGCTTTGCATCACAATCCTTAGACTGTGGTCTAAGCCTTTCGCGACAAAGGGATATTCAATCAAAACTGGAGTGAAGATACAGATTAAGAGAAAATGAAAGTCAAGATTAAGAGACATAGAATAATGAGTCAAAGATGGGCTAAAATCCTATCTTTTCTGGAACAGGTGGAAGACAGTTCTCGCTTAGATTACTGATTTTCTATATAACTCATACCCAGTATCAAAATATATGTTACATGAGAAGGAACTCTTTTTTCTAAGAATTCCTGAATTTAGCTTCTTGATTTCTAGTTTGGGCCAGCAGGAAGGATGTGAATTTCGATGTTGGCCGTCTCGAGCTTTCAATGATAGTCCTTCTTTCTCTAAACTACTGGTTGTCTTCAAAATCAGGTACTATTATGGTAAGATCATCATCATCTTTGTCATTATCCCATTTCAGCTAACATTTCTATTTGCAGTGATTCATTTTGTTCTATGCTTGTTTCAAATTTGGATTTGATCTGAATTCATAGCCAAGAGTTCTTTGATTCAGATTTATTATCAAATAACTAGATTGTTTTGGTTCAATAATTGCTATACAAATGGTCTTTATTTCTAGTAGTGTATTTTTTTTTTTTTTTTGGGTAAATTTTATTTCTAGTAGTGTTGATTATCAATCTCAGTCATATTGTGTGAGAGGCAAAGGATGGTGATCTTGATCGATTTTGTGATTTCACAAATAGAAAAGGGATCATATTGAACCCAATTAGAAGATTTGATTTGTATAATGTAAAATTTAACAATTATCTCTGTGGCAGATTTAAATTAGAAGTTGAATTACCAGGTAGAATTTTGGTAGCCTCTAAAAGTGAAAATGATTATGATAGTAATTTTTACGATGAGAGGGAATGGTTGAAGAATGCAGTATTGCTCAGTAATGCAATCAAGCGAGTTCCATTAATTCATTTGACTAGTAATCTTAAACAATGACTTATCTTTCGACGCATTTCCACCTTATTACGTAGATTGAATTATCTTATTGTTGTTCAAAGATGTCCCCTATACAAAATGGTGGTTAAAGAAGCTAGCACAATTTATTCCTACCAAAGATGCTTATAGAATTCTATACCAAAAACTTTCTTTGAACAGCTAAGCATAGAAAAGACCTGGGGTCATTGCTTCAATCATAGCTTCCATTATCTTCAAGCTCTTCTCTGCCTCCCGAATTTGAGCAGGAGTGATCTGTTTTCATAAAATTGACTGCAGAGTTTATTGTAATTCAATTTCTAGGTTGAGTCAAAACAACAGAAAGTATTGACAAGCCTTTTGGATCTTAGTGATTTGTCCCATCTCAAGTTCATTAAGTATATCATCCGTCTCTTAGTGAAAGAAATACTAGAACTAGAGTGACAAAAGATAGGAGGAGAGAATAAAAATAAAGGAAAACCAGGCTTTTATTATACCTTCCCCATGCCAGGAATCATTCCAATAACACGGCTCATGGAACCCATCCGTGCAACAGCACGGGTTTGCTTTAGGAAGTCGTTGAAATCAAAATTTGCACTCATGATCTTCTTCTGTAGTTCTTCGGCATCTTCTTGGCGCATCTACTCACAATTAGATTATGCGCTATGTCAAATAAATATCTTTACAATGAAAAATGATATGGGATTGACTGGAACCTACAACTTCTTGTGCCTTCTCCACAAATGACAGAACATCTCCCATTCCTAATATACGTCCTGCCATACGGTCTGGGTAGAAAGGTTCAAGATCCTCCATGCGCTCTCCCCGACCTACAAGTTTGATTGGCTTTCCTGATACCTGTCACCGTCCACTGTTAATAACAAGACAAACCTAAATTTCATAGTTACAGAAATTTTTATAATATAAAACCAACAATTATTAAGAAAAGCCAAAAAAAAAAAAAAACTAGTGAAATGAATTGTTGGAATTGCATCATTATTGTTAAATTTAGGAATTATAGAGAAGAAAAACAAACAATGCATATGGGATCTGAAAAATATTTTGGAGAGTTTCCCAGCTGCCCTCTCTCACTTGTTTCATATAACAACTTATATTACAAGGAAAGAGACCAACATGCCCTTATAAGAAATACAAAATACGCCTATATACATTCTAACACTCCCCCTCAAGCTGGTGAGTATATATCATATAATCCCAGCTTGGAACAAATTCAACTGCTTATAACTTAGAGCTTTAGTAAACATATTAGCAAGTTGATCTTCAGATTTAACAAATGGTGTAGAGATGTCTCCACTCAATATCTTATCTCGGATAAAGTAACAGTCAACTTGTTCTCTCACAAAACACTGGATTGAATGCAATGTGGATAGCTGCTTGGTTACCACAAAATAACGGAAGAGGGGTCTTCACTGTCAAGGCAAGTTCTTTAAGAAAATGTTGTAGCCATGTTAACTCGCTAAAGGTGTGGACCATCGCCCTGTACCCAGCTTCAGCACTAGAACGAGCTACCATTGTCTGTTTCTTACACCTCCAAGTTACCAAATTACCACCTAAAAAGGTGCAGTATCCTGTAGAGGATCTTCTAACTAAGGGAGAACCAGCCCAATCAACATCTGTAAAACCTTCCACCTTAAGGTATTCATTTGGTTTATACAACCAGCCGAAACCCGGAACTTACTTAAGATATCGGATAATCCGAAGAACAACATTCCAATGAGGCACTCTAGGAGCACCCATAAATTGACTCGCTACACTAGTTGCATACGAGATATCAAGTGAATAATGGTGAGATAAATTAGTTTTACAACCAGGCGACGAAATCTATCAGGGTTAGGGCTGCAAATGAACCGACCCATTCATGAATAGCTCGAGCTCGGCTCGTTAAAAGCTTGGCCCGGGCTCGTTCGTGAAGTAAACGAGCCGAGCTTGAACACATTTTTTAGGCTCGTTTAATAAACGAGCCGAGCTTGAGCAATGCTGCGCTCGGCTCATTAGGCTCATGAACAGTCTCATTTAAGAAGCCCATTATATTCTTATTTTTATATTGAAGATGCTAGCCCATATATATTAGAAGTGTGGCCCAAAGTTCCTTATGTTTTAAGCCTACTTGTTAAGGCTCATAAGACTAATACCATATGAGCCATTAGCTTACATTAAAATCCAATGACCCTAAACAAACTTTAGGGCAACAAATACCAAATTCACTTCACTTTCACTTGAAACCCTAATTGCCGCATCCACACTTCGCCTCCTCTTACACTGGGGTTACGGATTATTTCTCTCAAATATCTCTCCATCTTCTCTCTTTCTCTTTCATCTTTCTCTCAAATATCTCTCTATCTTCTCACTCTTTCTCTTTCATCCTAGTCTCAACTTTGAAGAAGACCAACAAGTGCCATACACATCACCAGCCCAAAACACAGACGATGGTTGAGAATCAGGCACTGACGGAGATCGACGGCCATGGGACTTTCATCTTTTAAGTATGTGTGTACATATATAAATAGATCTTGAGATGTTTTTGTGTGGTATATATGCATGTGGTTGTGTGTGCGTGTGTATATATATATATATATAAACGAGCTTGAGCCGAGCCCGAGCCCGAACATACCAAGCCAAGCTCGTCCGAGCCCGAGCAAGCCTTTAATTTTGGCGAGTCGAGCCCGAACAACCCCAAGCTTGGCTTGGTTCGATTCATTTGCAACCCTAATCAAGGTTATCAAATAAATCTCTCTCATCAACCAAGAGTTTAGAGTTTGGGTCCATAGGCACATCAATTGGACAACCACCTAACATGTTTCCTCCAATAAATCCAGCACATACTTCATTTGAGACAAAGTTATACTTGCTTAGATCGAGCAACTACAATACCTAAAGAGTATCTGATTTTACCAAAGTCTTTAGTCTGAAATCGATGTTGCAAAAATTAATTTCAACTTAGTCATCCCCGGTGATAACAATGTCATCCATATATACTGCAAGAAAAATGTAACCTGTTTTGGTATGTTGATGAAATTGTGAATGATCTATTTGACATCTATAAAGACCAAATTCTAATGTTGCCTAAGAAAATTTTCCAAACCAAGCTCTTGGTGACTGTTTCAAACCATACAAGGTTTTCTTTAGACAACGAACGGTATGTCGATACTCCCCCTGAGCAACAAACCTAGGTGGTTGCTCCATTTAGACTTCTTCAACTAAGTCACCATGTAAGAAAGCATTTTTAACATCTAACTAAAACAAGGGCAATTAAGATTCACAACAATAGAAATTAAAACACGAACAGAAGAAACCTTGTTTAGCAACAAGGTATGCTTTTAAACGCTCAATAGTGTTGTCAGGGGCTTATTTGTTATTACTTATATAATGTTGGGGCTTATGTGTAATTTCTGAAACTTGTTATTATAAATAGATAGTGGTGTAAGGATGAAAGTATTCTTTCATTATATCTCTCTTTCCCAATCTCTCTCTCTTTTTCAGTCATTCGCTTTCTTCTCTTTTTCTTCATCTTCTTTATCACTTACTCTTGATTTGATTATATCTTAAAGTCAACATGGTATCAGAGCATGGTTTGTAAAGCTCTAGATGTGTAGTTGAAACCCTAGGGCAAGTTTGTGAAAACCTTAGTGGGTGTGAAGGGTATTGAAGAGATTCCAAGATGGGATTTGTTTGCAAGGAAGTGATGTTAATCACATCCACACGTACCGTGTATTTGTTTGGACCTGTTTTTTTATCTATTGCCGTCTTGATTGGTGTGTTTTTTTTTGTGTTCGCGGGGTTTTGCAACAGCGGCTTTTTCTTTGAGATTTCGCGATTCTGGTATGGTCTACTTTGTTGCTTTCTAGGGTTTGTGTGGTGACTGTGTGGTCGCTTTTTTATGCATCTCAAAAGGCGGTAATCTTTCTAGTTGAAGTTTGTGTGTTAGAGAGGTGGTTCTCTACGTATTTTGTTGCTGCTTTTGTTTCTGAGGATTGTATACCCATAAATTGTTTGATAAAATGTCTGGCTCAGAGGTGACTTCAAAAGAAGCTGGGACTTCTCCTAGTCTGACTCAGAGGTAGTAGTGATCACCATCTAGTCCTTTGTATTACAACTCTTAGGCTAGATGAGACGAACTATATGGAGTGGGCTCAATCTGCTCGTATGCATATCACTGGTTGTAGGATGATCAATCATATCGAAGGGACTGTCACGTATCCCACCAAGAGCGATCCTGAATTCAAAGATTGGAGTGCAAATAATGCACTAGTTATGACGTGGTGGTTGCAATCAATACAGCCACAGATCAGCAAAGGGTTCCTGTTTGTGAAAACAGCTAAAGAGCTATGAACGGCTGCGGAAGAGACGTATTCCTCGATTAGTAATTTTGCAAAACTGTATGAACTCCAACAACAGATTTCAAGATTCAAGTAGGAAGACCAAACTCTTGCTAATATTAATACACTCTACGTGGTAAATGGGAGGAGTTAGACCACTACCAAGACTACATACCTGTGTGTGTAGCTGATGTTAAAACATTTCATGCTGTGGTAGAAAGGAATCGAATATATGAGTTCTTGGGTGGTTTGCATCCGAGATACGAGCATGCCAAGGTACAAGTGTTAGGCAGGTATCCAGCCCTACTTCTGTTAGAGATGTGTTTTCGTATATCCAGGCTGAGGAAAGTCGAATGAAGGCTATGTTTGCACCTGTATACACTAAGCCTGGCCCGAAGTACCATCGTCTGAGAAGTCTGTTCTTGCCACACAACAATGGAACAAGCCCAATCCTCCAAAAGGAGGGAAGCAGGATGACAAGAGCAAGTTGAGGTGTAATCACTGTGGGCGTACACGCCACACTAGGGAAACATGCTGGAATCTACACAGTCACCATACTCCAGCTCTAGCTCCAGCTCATGCAAATGCTAGGCCAAGGCTTGGTCCATTTAGGGGGTTATCTACAGCATATAATGCAAAGCGTGAGACTGCTTCTACTGGTCCTCAGGGCCATCGAGTTCTTTGTTCGTGGCTGAACTTGATGCTCTCCGACATCTATTAGCACAACATTCCTCCATTTCCACCTCTAACTTCGCTCAGACAGGTACCTCTCATTAGGCACATCAGGTTTCCACATTATCTGGTGGGCCACCCTGGATCATTGATTCAGGAGCCACTGATCACATGACTGGTATGGCATTTGATTGTTCTTCATACAATTTATGTTCTGGTGAGGATAAGGTTGAAGTGGCTGATGGCACCTTCACCTCCATTGCGGGGAAGGGCACTGTTTCTGCCTCTCCTAATCTTACCTTATCCTTTATTCTTCATGTCCCAAAGTTTACCAATAGCCTCCTTTCTGTCAATCACATTACAAAAGGCTTGAATTGTAGTGTAACCTTTTTTCCATCTCACTGTGTGTTTTAGGACTTCGACACGGGGAAGACGATTGGAAGTGGACGTGAGGACATGACTTGTACTTGCTGAACGCGAGGCCAACTTTTTATTATGTTGCAAATCAATCTAGTGTAAGGAAAAATAAATTTTGTTTTTTGATAATTAAGCAAATTCATTCAAAAAGCGTTCAAAAGGGGAACGCGTCCCAGAAACAACAAAGGGATCCTATGGTCCCAAGAAAGAAATAAAATCAATCATCTCCTCCGGAGAGGAACAAAGCCTACCTGAACCCCAAAAACATAAAGATGTAATAAAGGCCGACTTAAGAACAACAATCGAGGATTCCCTTCCTTCAAAGGATCTATTATTCCGCTCCCTCCACAAACACCACCATAAACACAAGAGCGCCATCCTCCAAAACCCACGAGCATGACCTCCCACATAACACCCTCTCCAAGCCTCCAT